CGCCGCCTCTGCAGCCTGCTGCTGTGGACACTGGAGCAAAGACTGAGGGTACTGAGCCTGGGGATGCTCGGACTGAGGGTACTGAGCCTGGGGGTGCTGGGACTGAGGGTACTGAGCCTGCGAGTGCTGAGACCGAGAGTCCTGACTCAGGGGGTGCTGCGAGTTTGGGTGCTGACTCTGGGGGTGCTGCGAGTTCGGGTGCTAACTCTGGGGGTGCTGCGAGTCCTTCTGGTGTTGGTGTCGTTGGAGCTCCTACCGGAGGACCTGGAGCTACTGGTGCTGGAGGTCCTGGAGGTGCTGCTAGTGCTGGAGGTCGTGGAGCTGCTGGTGCTGGAGGTACTGGAGGAGCTGCTGGTGCTGCTGGTCCTGGAGGTGCTGCTGGTGCTGGAGGTCGTGGAGCTGCTGGTGCTGGAGGTCCTGGAGGTGCTGCTGGTGCTGGAGGTCGTGGAGCTGCTGGTGCTGCTGGTACTGGAGGTGCTGCTGGTGCTGGAGGTGCTGGAGCTGCTGGGGCTGGAGGTGCTGGAGGTGCTGGAGGTCCTGGTGGAGCTACTGGTGCTCTTTGCCACCTTCTCAGTCTTCAGCCAGGTGCTACTGGCTTCTCTGTGGCAGGTACTACTCCTCCGTTGCTGTGTCCACCGGCGGACCAGTCACACCCACCGCTGCTACCACACTCCCCACTGCCTGCTCCTGCGCCTTACACTGCGGTGTCAGAGTCCCTGACTGAGCGTCGAGAGCCTGAGACTCGTGCTTCCACCCCTCAGCGTCGAGAGCCTGAGTCTAGCTTTGACCTTGAGCCTGAGCCTAGAGCTGCTGTCCGTGCTCGTGTTCCTCGTGTTCGTCGTCAGCGTGCTCCAGTTGTCCCCGGTACTCACGATATGACACTCCGTCCTTCCTTTGTTCCTCTGCGTGTTGTCCTACCGTTACCTCCTGCGTCCTCTCTGCCTGACGTTGCTGACCCTCCGTCTGACCTTGCTCGTGCGTCCAGTCCGACTGTTACTCGCCTTCTTGCTACGGCTGTGACGGACCCTACGTTCTTGTCTCCTGCTGCGTCTGCCCTAGTAGCTGAGCTCGTTGACTTTGCTGCTGTGTACCGCTTAGACTACCTTGCGAGTCTTGTCTCTGACCCTGTCCCTGCCTGTCCTCCGTCCATCGGGGGTGAGACTGCTCTTGGCTGTACTGCCCTTGGCTGTGACGTTCTTGAGGACAGACAGGAGGAGCTGGAGTGCCTTGCTGCCGCTTCACCCCATCACGCGACCATGCTGCTTGCCCCTGAGGGAGACCCGGATGCACTTGACATCCCCACCCCGCGCTCCTACAGGGAGGCGATTTCGGGTGAGTACTCCTCTCAGTGGCAGACAGCCATGGACGCAGAGATGGCTTCCTGGAAGTCCACAGGCACCTACGTCGACGAGGTTCCCCCACCTGGGGCGAACATCGTCAGTGGCATGTGGATCTTCAGGGTGAAGCGGCCGCCGGGTTCTCCGCCTGCCTTCAAGGCACGTTACGTTGCTCGAGGCTTCAGTCAGCGTGAGGGGGTTGACTTCTTTCAGACCTTCTCCCCCACCCCGAAGATAACCACTCTTCGGGTGTTGCTACACGTTACAGCTCAGCGTGACTACGAGCTGCACTCCCTCGACTTCTCGACAGCTTTCTTGCAGGGCAGCCTTCACGAGGCCATCTGGTTGCACCATCCACAGGGCTTCACTGGGTCGTTTCCTCCTGGTACACAGTGGAGCCTACGGCGACCAGTGTACGGCCTACGTCAGGTGCCCCGCGAGTGGCACGACACACTGAGGACGACACTTGCGGCTCTTGGGTTTGCTCCTTCGACTGCTGACCCGTCGCTGTTTCTACGCACCGACACTACTCTTCCGCCGTTCTACATCCTCGTGTACGTCGACGACTTGGTTTTTGCTACTACTGACACTGAGGCACTGGCCCTAGTGAAGGCGGAGCTGCAGGAGAGACACACTTGCACTGACCTGGGTAAGCTGCGGAGCTATCTTGGCTTGCAGATCACCCGGGACAGAGTACGGCGCACCATCACCCTCACTCAGTCACACATGGTGCACTAGGTCCTTGAGCGCTTCGGCTTCCAGCTCTCCTCGCCACAGCCCACTCCTCTGTCTACCGGCCACTCGCTCTCAGCTCCACCTTCGGACGAGTCCGTAGAGCCGATTGGTCCGTACCCAAAGCTTGTGGGTTGCCTCATGTACCTGATGACGTGCACACGACCTGACCTCGCGTAGCCTCTCAACCTTCTGGCTCGCTACGTGGCTCCTGGTAGACACCGAAAGGTGCACTGGGATGCTGCGAAAAGGGTACTGCGTTAATTGTGCAGTACATCGGGCATGGGGCTCGTGCTTGGAGGACGGAGTTCAGTGGTACTCACCGGACACTCTGACGCTTCTTGGGCCGACGACCAGGCGACTCAGCGTTCGTCACAGGGTTACACCTTCAGTCTTGGCTCTGGTTCTGTCTCGTGGAGGTCCACTCGTTCTTCGTCTGTGCTTGGCTCCAGTTGCGAGGCCGATCTACGCTGGGGCCATGGCTGCATAGGAGCTACGCTGGCTGACCTATCTGCTGACCGACTTGGGGGAGCGGCCTCGTTCTCCTCTAGTTCTGTACGTCGACAACAAGGCAATGCTTGCCTTGTGTCGTGAGCAGAGACTGGAGCACAGAACGAAGCACATTGCTCTTCGCTACTTCCTTGCGCGTGAGCTGCAGCAGCGTGGTCAGCTGCACCTTGCTTACGTGGCCTCTCGAGCCAACACTGCTGATGTCTTCACCAAGGCCCTTGGGTCTGGTGATCATCATCGTTTCTGCACTGCTCTTGGGCTTGTGCCCACTCCGCCTCACCTGCTGGCTGCTTGACTTGCTCTTGTTGTACACTGCTATATATATTTATACGTGCATGTTTACTCCTGCTGGGTTGTGATCAGTGTAGTGCCTTGCTATTTATAAATTTGCATGTGAACTGGCCTTGTGGCTGCCTGCTTGTGCTCAGATTGTGTGGTGTCCTTGAGATCCACCCTGGGCTTTGCCTTGCTTGTTCTCTTGCTTGACTGGTCTTGTGACCACTGTTCGGTTTGACTATCCCCTACTTCACCTATGGGGGTGTGTCAAAACATATTGTTTGTTCATGTTACTTTAGGTTGTGTAGGGGTCACACTTTAGAGGGTACAACCCAACTCTCTCGACATCCTTGTACCCCCTCCCTTTTACCTAATCGACACTTCTTCCTAGCTAATCTCGACAGCTCACAGTGCTGCCTTTGATTTGTGATTGTTTAGTCAGAAGAGGACGTTTTCATGGATGCTTCATGCTGCTTCTTTTTCGTTTATCTTGTATTCCCTGAAGTCTCACCACCATCCCGTTATTCATGTTGTGTGAAACAACCCTTTATGCAATAGTTGCATTTACAAGAACACGTACATGACCAGGGCCCACGTTATCAGTGTAAATCACCCTGATGCCCTGACTAGAAGGGTGATTTTTTGTAGTAACACTGATGCTGTTGGGTAATTTTTTGGGGACCTTGATTTACCCTGATGTGCCAGGTTTTAAGATTAAGGAACACTGTCGCCTCAGGGTTGTCGTTCCGCTTATCAAGGTTTACCCTGAAGCGCGTACCAGCGAACCCCCAAACCCCCCCCCCCCCCCCCCCGCTCCGTCCCGTAACCACCCGACCCCGAAAACAGTGGCCCTGCCGACCCCAGCGGGACGAAAAGGCAAGGAGAAAGTGCCGGAGCCAGAGGAGGACAGTGACCACGAGCAAGAACCGTGTGGCATGTCTGAAGATGATGATTAAGCTTGTTATTGTGTGTTGTGTTAATAACAACTGAAACAGGGTTTTGCGAATTGGTACACTGATGATTCGTAGTCGTTTTGATACATGCAAAAACCCTGACGCATCAGGTTTTCCACAACGGGTAACCCTGAAAATCAGGCTTTTGAACAGGTGCTAGACTGATCGTAAGGGTTGGTCAAAACAAAAAATGAGCCCTGTACATGACTTTTCGACGAACATTTATCTCCCACCCAGACAGTGCCTTGTGATGTCGCTCGCACGCCATCTAGATTGAACCTCTGCTTCAGATACGTAACGGTCCGAAACTAACTTGGTTGCCCATTTCACTCCATATTTTATCAATATAGCTTATCATGATCACACTGATTTATGTACAACGAATCTGCAAATTTACCTTCACCGACAACTCTGTTGCTTGTATTGTTCGTGAGTTTCTCTACAAGCAGCTTCAGTTCAGCAAGGAAAAAAGCAGGCAGATGAGGGGAGGGGAGCACAAGCACAGGGCATAGCCATATCAACCGCGCCCCACACGGCACCGGCACGGCACGGCACGCACAATGTCTTCAGACCAACACAGCCATTGTTGCCAGTCCAAGGTGACCCGGAGTGCACGCAACCACTTCGGATTGCATCGTGTAGTACACGGTTATGGGAGCCGCAGTTGCGCTTAGGTTTCGCAGCGTGTAGACGATTGTGGGCGCGAGATTATTCTCAAGAGCCCTGGGGATCGAATACGCGCGGTATCGATTGCGCGTGCTTGTAGGCATATGTATATAAACTAGTGGGCCTCATCGGGAATACGCACCCACCTCGTCGACTATCACTGATCGCACTTGTGAGGCACCGACGCTTACCCAGCCATTTCCTAGTCTGCGACCCTGAATTCACCTCCGCGTTGCTTTTTGAGGCGCCTCAATAATCGCCTCAAAACCGACGCGTACCCAGCCACTTGCTAGTCTGCGACCCTGAATTCACCTCCGGCGCGTTGCTGCCTTCTGGTTGGTTGAATCAGTCCCTCTTTCTGTCTCGACACTTTTTCCTGTCCAATTCGCCCAACCGTTCCCAACCGACTACCGCCGCTTGTTCTACAAGGCCGCTGCTACTACCGCCGCTTCTGACGAGGCTAGTGCCTCTGGCACCCGTCGCCGCTACTTGCCGAGCCTCTTTCGTCACCACCGCGAGCACCAGCATGGGAGATTCCAAGCTCGCTGTCGCGCTGCTCGTCGTCATCCTCGTTGGTACGCTTCCCAACCTCGAGGCATTTTGCGCGACGCTCGTTAGAAGCTTACACGCTGCTCGATTAAATCCCAATTCCGTACACATCCGACTCCTGAGTCGAATAAAAAAGCGTCACATTCGCGAGTCGCTCGTTACTTAATCGGGGTTTCCCCCTTCCCCATGTAACGTCCTCGCAGCGAGTGAGGTCGTTGTCGCTGACTGTCGCCCTTCCCCGTGTCACTTCCTGCTCTCCCTTCCCCGTGTCACTTCCTGCTCTCCCTTCCCCGTGTCACTTCCTGCTCTCCCTTCCCCTCCATGTGATGTCTTCGCAGCGAGTGATGTAGGAGTGTCGCTGGCGCTGGGAGCACCTGCCATCAGAGGGATGACTGCTGGCGGCGGCGGCACCAACCTGACTGGTACTACGGGTGTGACTTGTGCCCTTCCCTGTGTGACGTGTCTTGCCATTCTCCCTTCCCCTCTGTGTGACGTGTCTTGCCATTCTCCCTTCCCCTCTGTGTGAGCGAGTGAGGTGGGTGTGTCGTCGCTGGGAGCACCAGCCGGCAAAGGCACGACTGCTGCCGGTTTTTGTGCGCGTGGGCTCTTTTTGAGACGTCTCAAAAACACCGTTTTTTCACGTCGGTGATGCGGGTTTATGTTCACCTGAGCTCGGTGATGCTCCTCAGCTCGCTTGTTCTGAACCCTTGTCGATGGCAGCAAATGCCGCTGCTGCCAGCGATGTGATGCGGCTTTATGTGCGCGCTGCCTCGGTGATGCTCCTCCTCGGCTTGCTCGTTCCGACCTTTTCGCTTAGCTTTCCGTCTTCGCCCTTCTTTGTTTGACATGCTCGCAGCGACGGCAGCAAATGTGGTGGCTGCCAGCGATGGGGTGGCTGCCAGCGATGGGGTGGCTGCCAGCGATGGGGTGCGGCTTTATGTGCGCATGGGCACACTGATGCTCCTCCTCGGCTCGCTCGTTTTCAACCCTTCCCTTCCCTTTTTGTCTTCGCCCTTCTCCCCGCAGCCATGGGAGCGAATGCCGCTGCGGCCACCGACGTGGTGCGGCTGTATGTGCGAATGACACGGTGATGCTCCTCGGCTCGCTCGCGCAGCCGCGCAAAGTCCGATTCGAATTTGAGCGCTGCGTATCCGTGGGGAAAGTGATGCCCGAAGTCGCGTCCGCGAGCGGCGGCGGAGGAGGTGCGGTGGACGCGCTGCTGTTGTGGGACGTGTTTTTGGGTGACGCGCATTTCGAGCGCACGGTGTGCGACGCGGTGCAGCTGTTCGCGTCGCCCGACTGCTCGGGTACTGCAGCGGCAGAGTACCAAAACACGGTTTACCACACAAGGGACATGAGGTGAGTGCTCACCCGCTTGTTACTGGCGGGGGGGGGGGATGTGCTGGTGTGGTGTGGTGGGACGTGTTTTTGGATCGTACGGTGTGCAACGCGGTGCAGCTGTGAGCAGTGCGTTCAAGATGGTCGCATCAGTGAAGTCCATCCTACTGCTGCCATATGTGCCCTGCACCTGCTCCCATACGTCCCTCCCATGCGTCCCTCCCATGCGTCCCTCCCATGCGTCCCTCCCATGCGTCCCTCCCATGCGTCCCTCCCATGCGTCCCTCCCATGCGTCCCTCCCATGCGCCCCTCCCATGCGCCCCTCCCCCCTGTGTCTGTGTGAGCAGTGCGTTCAAGATGGACGCATCAGTGAAGTCCATCCGCTGCGTTCTCGGTGAGTGCCTTGCTGCTGCCACCATGCATTCACCTCTCTGCTGTTATTGCTATGCATGCCCTGCTGCTCATGCATTGCCTTGTACAAACATCACTCGCAGCTTCCACCTCTGCCCTGCGGCCACCATGCATTCACCTCTCTGCTGTTATTGCTCTGCATGCCCTGCTGCTCATGCATCGCCTTGAACAAACATCACTCGCAGCTTCCACCTCTGCCCTGCTGCCACCATGCATTCACCTCTCTGCTGTTATTGCTATGCATGCCCTGCTGCTCATGCATCGCCTTGAACAAACATCACTCGCAGCTTCCACCTCTGCCCTGCTGCCACCATGCATTCACCTCTCTCGCTACCATTACTATGCATGCCTTGCTGCTCATGCATCGCCTTGAACAAACATCACTCGCAGCTTCCACCTGTGCCCTGCGGCTACCATGCATGCGCTTGCTGCTATTGAGTGGAGCACGCGCTTCCTTTGAGTCGACTCAAAAGCAGACTCCTTTTGAGTGGAGCCATGCGCTTCCTGCTGCAACTTTTCCTCATGAGTCATCCCTCTCCCCCCATTCTTTCCCCCATCCCTCTCCCCCCATTCTTTCCCCCATCCCTCTCCCCCCATTCTTTCCCCCATCCCTCTCCCCCCATTCTTTCCCCCATGCCTCTCCCCCCATTCTTTCCCCCATGCCTCTCCCCCCATTCTTTCCCCCATGCCTCTCCCCCCATTCTTTCCCCCATGCCTCTCCCCCCATTCTTTCCCCCATGCCTCTCCCCCCATTCTTTCCCCCATGCCTCTCCCCCCATTCTTTCCCCCATGCCTCTCCCCCCATTCTTTCCCCCATGCCTCTCCCCCCATTCTTTCCCCCATGCCTCTCCCCCCATTCTTTCCCCCATGCCTCTCCCCCCATTCTTTCCCCCATGCCTCTCCCCCCATTCTTTCCCCCATGCCTCTCCCCCCATTCTTTCCCCCATGCCTCTCCCCCCATTCTTTCCCCCATGCCTCTCCCCCCATTCTTTCCCCCATGCCTCTCCCCCCATTCTTTCCCCCATGCCTCTCCCCCCATTCTTTCCCCCATGCCTCTCCCCCCATTCTTTCCCCCATGCCTCTCCCCCCATTCTTTCCCCCATGCCTCTCCCCCCATTCTTTCCCCCATGCCTCTCCCCCCCATTCTTTCCCCCATGCCTCTCCCCCCATTCTTTCCCCCATGCCTCTCCCCCCATTCTTTCCCCCATGCCTCTCCCCCCATTCTTTCCCCATGCCTCTCCCCCCATTCTTTCTTCCATGCCTCTCCCCCCATTCTTTCCCCCATCCTTCTCCCCCCATGCCATTTCCTCCCATCCCATCCCTCTCACCCCTTCCTCCCATGTGATCCAGACGACATCTGCAGCCGTGTCAAGTGCCCGGCACACTCCACGTGCATCAAGACAAACGACAGCATGGAGGTGGCATGCCAGTGCGCCCAGGGCTACCGCAACGTCTACGGCACATGCAAGCCCCAAGAACCTGCACCCGAATGTAAGTCTGTGCGTTGAATGTGCATTAAGACAAGCGACAGCCTGGAGCTGGGGTGCCAGGGCGCCCAGGGCTACCGGAAAGTCTACGGTCAATGCAAACCCCAAAAACCTTCACCTGAATGTAAGTCTGTGCGTTGAATGCGCATCATGATGAGAGACAGCCTGGAGGCTGGAGGTGGCCTGCCAGTGCGCCCAGGGCCACCTAAACTCTACGGTGAATGCAAGCTCCTCTCTTCCCTTCTCGTCCCAGATTGCCTTCCTCTCCCCTCTTCCTCCATACGCCACGTCCCTTCCTCCCTCCTATCCTATCCTCCCTCACGCTCTCCCACTCCTTTCCGCCATGTTCCCTGTGCCTTAGTCGTTGATTCTCGCCTTGTCTGCTCCAGAGCCCCTCCACTGCCACTGCTATGTTAAGACCCCTTCCAAAGCTGCTCTCTCTCCTCTTACCCTCCTCTCCCCCTCCTCTGTCCTTGTCGTTGATTCTCGCATTCTCTACTGCAGAGCCCCTCCACTGCCACTGCTATGTTGGGAACCCTTGCAAAGCCTCTCTTTCCTCTCCCATTCCTTTCCACCATGTTCCCTGTCTCCTAGTGATTGGTTCTCGCCTTGTCTACTGCGGAGCCCCTCCACTGCCACTGCTATGTTGGGAACCCTTATAAAGCCGCTCTCCCTTCCCCCCTCCTCTCAACCCTCTCATGTCTCCCCTCTCCTCTTGTCTATCTTCTGCCACTATCCATCTCTCTGCCTCTATTCTATCTTGTCTCCTGCAGAGCCCTCTCCTGAGTCACTGCTGTGCTGGGAGGAGCCTCTGTTCTTCTCTGAAGAGACCAGCTCCTGTTCTGCCTCTATCCATCTGCATGCCTCTTGTTTATCTTGTTGTCTGCTGCAGAGCCTTTCCTGAGCCACTGCTGTGCTGAGAGCTCCTGCAGAGAGCAGCGCATCTATGGGAGCTCCTGCGTTTCTGCAGATGCCCTAGAGAGCCCCTGGAGAGGAATGGGAGAGGGCCTGGAGTGGCAGCTTTGTGACGGGACTCGGGAGTCAGCATTTGCTACCTAGGGAAGCCATTGCTGTGATTATTGGATTGGAAGCAATTTTGTAGCAAGAGTGAGGGGTGTGATATCAGCATTGGAGCATCATAGAATGTCTACCCGTAAGCTTAAAAAATGAAGTATTATTGTTTTCTCTACCGGGATTTCCTGTCCTGGTTTTTTTTTGTGTACCCAACATGGTATCCATATACCTAATATGAATAATGAAAACATTTGTATAGAAAGGTTATTATTTATAGCCTGCTTCGTTTGTTGACAAGATTGAAACACGCCCATACTTCCAACAAGAAGTGAGAAGCATTACAAAAGACTTCATTGCGCGACGCGACGATTCTCGAATTGTGCTCAATCCTGTTGACACTTGTTGTGTGGAGGGAGAGAGGGAGGCCTAAGGCCACTCATAAAAAAGCCACCCACCGCAGTGAATAACCCGTGGTAGTGAACGAGTTGGATCAGCCCTAACATTTCGTTGTGCGGGCTGCCTGTTGTGATTTCTTCCTTTAGCCTCCTTTCTCCTTTTGTTCTCCTTCCGCTTTTACTGTACCCCCTAACCCGACACGTGAAAAGACGGCTGAATTATGTTCGCGATACCTAAACGCTAGTAGTGAACGAGTTGGACCTGCCCTAATGCGACACCTAAAAATACGGCAGTGAGCAAGATCACGACACCTAATATTACGGCAGCGAGCAAGATCCGATCGCGGCGCGATACCTAAAATACGGCAGTGAGCAAGATCGGCTGTGAACAAGTTGAATTACTCGTGGCAGAGAAGCATCCGACGGCGCGCGCTACCTATACATTTCCAAACGCCACGTGGCGTACCTGCGCTCGCGAAGATAAACGAACGAGACGTTCTGGTGGTTGTGATTGAAGACACTATCCAGACAGAACCGAATTAGGTGCACGTTCGGTACCACACGTTGCTCAACCGAGCAAACTGAGCCGTGGCGCTTGTAGACGACGTGTGGTTGCCCGTCCCCAAAAGTCATAGGGACGGCGTCGCGCTTGTGATACACGTAGACAGACTGCTGCGATTAGGTTGGGATTCGCCTGTAGTAATCCCCGGGAATTTTTCGACAATTCATGCCGCCTACGCGCACCTGGTGCCTCACGTGGCCCACGTGGCGTGGCAACGGGTGGCGAGTGGCCTCTCGAGCGCTGCGCGTACGCGCACCTGGTGCCTCACCTGGGGTGCGGCACCGTTGCCACTATCCCCCCTGGAGGGTCCGGCGTTCCAATATGGCCCGCCCGTATCGAAATACGCGGGGAGTAGTAAGTATATATCATATTCGTGCCACCAGTAGTGGTGACTTCCCATCGAGTATACATCACCAAAATGAAATGTCCCGAAACTGTCCTGAAAGTTTCTTTCCGAATACTTTCGGGACAGGTTGAAAAGTGTCTCGAAAGACACTTTCGAGACTAAGTGAAATGTCCCGAAAGGGTCACGCCCAACTGTCTCGAAAGTGTCTTTCGAGACACTTTTGGGACACATTCGAGACTCGGCGCCAGTAGCATTGAGGACTCCCCACGGACACATTCGGGACACTTCTGGGACCCTATGAAAATAGCAATGGCAATCATCCTGTCCTACTAGCAGGATTGTACTCTACTGTGATATACTCGTGAAAGCATAGAATGTCTTATAATAATGTTGTTATCTACAACATTTATACACATATAACAACCACACCATCCTATGCCGCCCTAACAAAAGATTCTACTCAATCAGTCATATAGGTCTTTTGAGCTATCAACCGGAGTAAAAAAAAAAATTGAAAACAAAAAAAATAAAACCCCGGATTGCTCCATCAGAGATGCCCGCCACTGTCCCATCCCGCATGACCACCCAACTTGAATCACTCCATCCACGGACCCTGGTCACCCACGTGCGACGCAGGTCGCACCTGATACTCCTCCGGCAGATACTCATTGAACCCACTCTCGTTGATAAACAGCCCAGCTTCACCCCACTTGAAAGCCCCCATCTCAGGGACGTACAGGCGCCCCTTCGCCACGGCCAGCCACATCTTGATGGCTGCTTCGACCTCTGCCAGCACCTCCACCATCTCGCGCTCGTTGGTCAGGGGGCTTTGTGAGAGAGTCATTGACTTGCCCCTCATGTTGGTCATGCCATAGTCGAACTGTCACAAACAACAAACCGTGGGTTTAGATGGAATAGGGTATGAAGGAGCCTGCCAACATAAACTTTCTTACTGACACCAACATGGCTACTGGTGCGGAGCACTCACAGAAAACAGGACCCACGCTATGTGATAGGGGACGAGGACAAGGATCCCGTCAGCAGTGACCCATTCAGGGTATGCCGCCTTGCACGCTGCAAAGAACAGGGCGCTGGTGAAGGGCCTCTTGTCGCCCTTCTCATGGCTCCACGAAGAGACCTTGTGCCCAAGGTGCTCCTCTGCCACACAGTGAAGGGGATAGATGGGATCAGAGTTACTTAGGGACTGAAATGGGGTTGAGGCAAGTTAATGCGTAGAGAATGATAATGGCATTGGACCAATACGTACGTGGGCCGAGGGTCTCCCACCACTCTGCCTTCCTGGCTGTGTCGAGCTTGTACTTGTATATCCCCTTTCCCACGACGTCTATCCCCAGCCCGCAGACAATCGTGTAGCGTGCCAATGAGGACGAGTCGTTCCTGAACTTCGTCCACACTTTGTTGACCTTCGTACTGTACTCCGTCTTGGACATGGCGTAACAGACCTGGACGTAGCTCACGTCATGCGTGGCACGAAGGATGATACGTAGCGCCTCGTTCCTCACTGTGTTCGAAGGGAACAGGGTCACACCTCGCGCCGCACAGTTGCGTAGCAGGAGATCCATTGCCATCTTTGCGTGCACCTGGTGACGGGACCAGGTCATGGTCAAAAGATGCTCACTGCATTAGGCAAGTCATTTGATGCACCTTGGGAAATTGGCTTTCAGATTAAGCAAAGATCGCGGCCATGGCATGCAGGTGCAAACGGCTCAAAAGAAAAACTCTGAAACCAGGATTAGTGCCATTCGTACTCGTAGGTTCAGACTTACTTAGGTACTCCGTGCGCATACTCACCACGATCTCATCTGGAGACGGCATGCCACGTATCAAGCCCTCCCCGCTCCTCTCCGGATCATAGTCAATGATGAGAGTCATCTGCGGGAGGTTCCTTTCCCGCTTCACACCACGGGCTTGGAAGCCCTCGGCAGCCCCTGCGCCATGCCCGCGGTACGCTGCTCCTCTTGTCCGGTACGTGTCCTTCCGCTGGTCATGCACTCCTACCCGTGTAGGTTGTGCCGCAGGAACAGGGCCGGGTGCACCTCCGTTGGTGTTGTTGAGGTGGTCACGCTCCTTCTTGAGTCTGTTGGTGTAAAGCCCTCTGTTCACTCGCCCGCGATGTGCAACAGCCGTAGCGTGGCCGACAGCCTGGGGTGGGGTTGCGGGCTGTGAGGTAGGCTGTGGTGATGGATCAGGATGGTCATTAGTGAAAGCATGAGGGTTCTCGTCAGTAGCGATAGGGGCAGCTCGAGGTATGTTACTCGCGGCTGCCTGCGTGTCACCCCTATTTAACCCAGTGATGGGGCCCTTTCCACATTCTTCGTGCCTACGGACAGAACTGTCAATACTCGCCAACGCCTCTAACTCATCAGCACCTAGCAGTGGAGTGCCACGACTACCAGCAGCCGCAAGGATACCCGAAATGTCACGGCCACGTCGCTGGCGAACGCTGTTGAGCAGCCTCGTCAGCTCTAAGAGTTCTGGATCGTCTCCTCCGGCATCCCCAACACCCTCCTCGGGGGACGATTCACCGTGCTCTGCCTCCATGTCGTGAGTCTGTCCCACGCCACCATCGAAGAAAGGCGTTGGCACCATTCCAGGGAGGCCAGCGCCCATGCTAGTTCCACGTTCTGCGTTGGCCATAGAACGATGAACCAAAGGTGACAGCGGTGTTGAAGCAGCGTGTACCAACGCAGGAGAGAACAATGGTCCACGCTTGACCGAGCAGTACTGCTGTGTGGGACTGCTCGACCACTGCCTCCGGGCATTGAGTACCGGCTCACTTCCTGCTGGAGTCAGAAGCGTCGACGGCTTCAACTCGGTCGCTGCAGCACCCTTACCGCCATGTTCTAGTGAACTCCGGTCGATGAGTGGCGGCTTGCGACTCGTACCAGGAGGAGGCGAACACTGAAGATGAGGGCTAGTAGAACCAGCTTCCCCCTTCGCCCGACCATTCAGCGCTTGTTTCGCGCCATCGGCTCCATAACGGGCTTTGTGCTGCTGATAGTTCGCCATCCCGGCCGATGCCACGCCCGTTGCGACGGGGATCAACTGCGGCACTTGCTCACCCCCCTGTACCTTCCGTGTGTAGATGCTCTTGTGAGAATGAGAACGAGAATGAATGAACTATGAAATGAAGTGAGTACAAATAGGAAACCCTAATTGGGTTGTACCCCCTATGGGATACCCCACTATAGCCTACACAACAGCATAAGCTATATAATGTTCTGACACACCCCCATAGGCAAAGTGGGGGAGAACAAGGGGTCACAAGACCAGTCAAGCAAAGCAGAGCAAGCTCAGGGTGGATCACAAAGTCACCACACAGTCCGAGCACAACGACAAGGCCACAAGGCCAGTTCACATGCAGGAGTACACATATATATATAGACCTAGACAAGCAAGAGCAGGTATATATATGTAACAGTACAAGCAAGGTCAAGAAGAGAGCAAGTGAGGCAAGACAGGTACAAGACCCAGCTGGGTGCAGAAGCGCTGATGGTCACAAGGTGCAAGTGCCTTGGTGAACACATCAGCAGTGTTGGCCTCAGAGGCCACGTAAGCAAGTCGCAACTGACCACGCTGCTGCAGCTCACGAGCAAGAAAGTAACGGAGAGCAATGTGCTTCGTTCTGTGCTCCAAGCGCTGCTCTCGACACAAGGCCAGCATGGCCTTGTTGTCTACGTACAGCACTGGAGGAGAACGAGGCGGCTCTCCAAGGTCAGTCAGCAGGTAGGTGAGCCAGCGAAGCTCCTGTGCAGCCATGGCCCCGGCGTAGATCTCAGCCTCACAACTGGAGCTGAGAACAGAGGACGAGCGAGTAGCCCGCCACGAGACAGAGCCGGAACCAAGACTGAAGGTGTAACCCTGCGACGACCGCTGTGTAGCCTGGTCGTCTGCCCAAGAAGCGTCCGCGTGCCCAGTGAGGACCACTGGACTCCGCCCTCCAAGCACTAGCCCCATGCCCGACGTACTGCACAAGTAGCGCAACACCCTCTTAGCTGCAGCCATGTGCTCTGGTCGGTGTCTCCCAGGAGCAACATAGCGTGCAAGAATGCTAAGAGGGTATGCAAGGTCAGGTCGTGTGCAGGTCATCAGGTACATGAGGCAGCCAACAAGCTCTGGGTACGGGCCACTCGACTCTACGGACTCATCCGAAGGCAGAGCTGAGAGCGAGTGGCGAGTAGACAGAGGAGTGGCCTGAGGCGAGGAGTACGTGAAGCCGAAGCGCTGAAGGACCTGCTGCACCATGTGTGACTGAGTCAAGGTAATGGTGCGGCGTGCTCTGTCCCGAGTGATCTGCAAGCCAAGGTAGCTGCGCAGTTCACCCAGGTCTGTGCACGTGTGTCTCTTCTGCAGCTCGGACTTCACGTAGGCTAGTCCAGCAGTGTCAGCTGTGGCAAAGACCAAGTCGTCGACGTACACGAGGACGCAGAACGGCGGCAAAGAAGTGTCGGTGCGCAGAAACAACGACGGGTCAGCAGTAGAGGGAGCAAACCCAAGAGCCGCAAGCGTAGTCCTCAGTGTGTCGTGCCACTCACGCGGTGCCTGGCGGAGACCGTAGACTGGCCGTCGGAGGCTCCACTGGGTGCCAGTAGGGAAAGTCCCAGTGAAGCCAGGTGGACGGCGCAGCCAGATCTCCTCGTGCAGGCTACCCTGCAAGAAAGCAGTGCTGAAGTCAAGAGAGTGGAGCTCGTAGTCGCGCTGAGCGGCTATGTGCAGCAGAACCCGAAGAGTGGTCATCTTCGGGGTGGGAGAGAAGGTCTGAAAGTAGTCAACTCCCTGCCGCTGACTGAAGCCACGAGCGACGTACCGCGCCTTGAAGACAGGTGGAGAGCCCGGCGGCCGCTTCACCCTGAAGATCCACATGCCACTGACGATGTTCGCCCCAGGAGGGGGAACCGCGTCAACGTAGGTGCCTGTGGACTTCCAGGACGCCATCTCTGCATCCATAGCTACCTGCCACTGAGAGGAGTAGGGACCCTCTACGGCCTCCGCGTAAGAGCGCGGAGTCGGGATGTCTAGTGCATCCGGGTCTCCCTCAGGGGCAAGTAGTACGGACGCGAGATGAGGTGAAGCAGCAGCCAGACACCGGAACTCCTCCTGCCTGTCCTCAAGGACGTCCGTGCCAAGAGCACACTCACCCCCGACGGACGGAGGACAGACAGACGCAGACTCAGCAACAAGACCGGCAGCGTAGTCTAGACGACAGCGAGCAGCAAAGTCGACGAGCTCAGCAACAAGTGCAGACGCAGCAGTGGACTCAAAAGAGGGGTCAGTGACGACAGTAGCAAGGAGACGTGTGACAGCATGACTGGCAGCACGAAGAGAGTCCGACTCCGGGTCAGGAAGAGCAGGAAGAGAGGACTCAGGAGGAGAAGGCAAAGGGGCACGCAGAGGAGCAGTGGACGGACGCAGAGACATCCGGTGCGTGCCAGGGACAGGAGGAGGACGCTGACGCGAACCACGACCACTAGTGCGAGCAGCACGGACAGGCGACGCAGGGCGAGACGCAGGCTCACGACGCTCAGCAAGACCTCCAGTAGGACCAGTGTAGGGAGAAGGAGCGGGCAGTGGGGAGGCCGGCTGTAACTGTAACTGTGACAGGACAGGCTGTGGACACTCTAAGGGAGGAGGAGGACCAGTAGAAGGCGGGAGACCAAGAACCTGCTGAAGGAGCGGAACGAAGTACGGTCTAGGCCGCGCGGCGACTCCAGACACAGCAGGGACAGCACCAGTACCCCCAGCGGGAGCACCAGCGCCAGCAGCACCTCCAGCTCCAGGACCTCCAGCAGCACCAGTAGCACCCCCAGCAGGACCGCCTCCAGGACCGACAGCAGTAGCCTCAGCGCCAACGCCCTCAGCAGCTCCAGCTCCAGCACCTCCGGGACCCGCGGCACCAGCACCCTCAGCAGCCGAAGAACCTCCAGCTCCAGCAGCACGCCTCCAGCGCCGGGCAAACCACTCGCGCAGCTCCTGTGGAGAGAGGGGCTCCCGCCGAGGCGAAGCACCCGGAGAACCGCCAGGTCCCGCACCGCCAGACGCAGCAAGGGGAGGTCCAGTGGCCGCAGGCTCCGCAGCTCCAGGCTCAGCACCTCCAGACGCAGCACCCCCTGGCTCAGCACCCCCAGACTCCGCACCCCCAGGCTCAGCACCCCCAGTCGCAGCACCCCCAGGCTCAGCACTCCCAGACTCCGCACCCCCAGGCTCAGCACCCCCAGTCGCAGTACCCCCAGGCTCAGCACCCCCAGACTCAGCACCCCCAGGCTCAGCACCCGCAGCAGGACCAGAGTCACCAGCAACCTCGACCGGCTCGACTGCGTCTACCTGGGACACACCTGAAGGGGCAGGACCCTGAGGGGGAAGGGGGTCTACCGGGGGGGGACCTGGCACAAGGAAGTGCGGTGGCGGGGGGAGGGAAGGATTGCGGTAGGGGAAGAGGCGGTAGAAGGGGACTGACTCGTCGAACGTGACGTCCTGGGAGGACAGAACACGACGAGAGGAGGGGTGGTAGAACTGCCACCCTGGAGCGTCAGGGGGGAAGCCGAGGAAGACACAGGGAGCAGCACGAGGGGACAGCTTGTCCGCAGACAAGTCGCGGACAAACGCCCGAGATCCCCAGACACAGAACGCAGACGCATCGCCGACCTTCCCCGTCCACAGCAGAGCTGGGGAGGTCTCCGGCCGGGAGACCCTGGGGTGAAGGTTGATCTGATGCGCCGCGTACCGAACCGCAAACGGCCACAGAAAATGGGGGGCAGCCGCATGCATCATGGACGTACGAGCGACGTCCATGACCATGCCAATGCGGCGCTCAGCAATCCCATTTTGCTGTGGAGAGTCCGGAAGCGTAAAGGTCTGGCGGATGCCTCGTGCACGACAGTAGGCTCGCAGAAGGCCAGAGGAGAACTCTCCACCTCGGTCAGAGTGCAGACGCAGAACAGGAAAGTCCGAGCCGAAGCTCCTCCTGAGCTGGAGACGAGCTGCGCGGATCCAGTCGATCAACACCTCAGTGACATCACCCTTGCTGCGCAAGGGGAAGACTGTGGTGTAACGCGAGTAGTCGTCAACCACCAGCAGGAAGTAGCGCTCGTGACCCTGCCCACGGACGCGGGCGGGGCCCCACACGTCCATGTGAAGCGTCTGCAGAGGAGCCTCTGTCGGGGGAAACTGGGAGGAGTGAGGGGCAGCCCGGAGCCGCCCCTCGACACAGGGGACACAAGAAGGTCCGGGTCCCGAAGGAAGGGGAGGGAGAGACCGGGGAAGACCAGAGACAAGGACACGGGAAGCCATGCCCCGAAGACGAAGCAAGGAGGGGTGGCCAAGACGGTGGTGCCACAGGAGAGTCTCGTGAGACAGGCGGCGACACGAGCAGGGGGCAGACTCAGGACCAGACCTGGACGCAGCAGCAAACACCTGACCCGACGCAGCTACCTGGCCAGACGCAGGGACAGGAGGAGACGCAGTGGTAAGTGTGTAGAGACTCGACCCTGGCCGACGCGAGAACGTGGCCAGGTGTCGGCCTGTGCGGGCATCCGAGCAGTGGGTCACCCGCTGACTCGCAGGAGTAAACTGGTGAACCCCCGCATCCTGCAGGTCAGCACCACTCACCAAGTCCGTCGAGAACGAGGGGAGGTACAGAC